TATATATATATATATATATACGATATATATATATATATTATTCATACCTTCTGTGTATAGGACGCATGCATATTTTGACATCAAATTTTGGGGTAAAAAAGTGCGTCTCATACAACGAAAAATATGGTATTTATGCAGTTACTTAAAACATAAAATCTAAGGACAACAAGTGGCATTTGATCCATCTAGGCTGTCTCAATCCACTAAACTAAATATTAAAAAATACACATAGAGTAAGCCCTTATTATTCAAGTATTTATCAATCCTTCCCTTAAATTTTTTCCATCCACCACATCTGAAGACAACTCATTTCAAAGACAATCACTTTAGAAAAATAAAACTGCCTTAGCTGAAGGTGACTTCTATCATGCCAACATTTATATCTGTGTCCCCTAATCCTATCATTCTCACATTAAATAGAAAAAAAAGGTGATGCACCAACACTATCAATTCCATTAACAATTTTCAGCACCTAAATCGGATCCCTCTAACTCTCAAGAGAAAACAATTTCAGAAATTTTAACTTGTCCTCTTATGAAAACCTTTCTATTTCGGGTGTCATCCTAATAACACTTCTCTAAACCCTTTCCAACAAGACAGTGTCCTTTTTAAGGTAACGAGCCCAAAATTGAACACAATACTCCAAGTGAGTCCCAAAGAGTGACGTATACAATGAAATTACAACCTCTTTAGATTTATACTTGATATTTCTACAGATATGACCTAAAATCCTACTTTCCCTACCACAGCATCAGCACACTGATTGCAAGAAATAAGAGACTGATCAATCAGAACACCAAGATCCTTTTATTTCATAATACTGTTAAGGTTATTCCCATCAAATTTATACTTGTAATTTGAAATTGAAAAGATCAAAAGTTCTAAAATATTTCTGTAGGAACGTTTTTTTTTTCAGATTTTGACATTCCAAATAAAAATAGTTTACCAAAGAACTATTAATACATTGTGTTAAATTACAATGATAGAAACTTTAGCCCTCTGTGCATTCATTAATAAATTATTGAGACAGTTAAGAATGCATTGCTACTTCCATTTTAGTTGAATCTGTAGATTCTCCCATATCTGATATTTGCCATAACATTTACTATTTTCCTTAATTAGTTCCAAATAACATGTTTGTGTATGCTGTAACTAAATACAGCAACAGTGGAGTTAATCAGATAAGCAGTATTAAAACTTAGTGTATCCTGCTTAGTTTTGTAAAATACTTTAATGTAACATGATTCATCAGGAATTGCATTGCAGTTTGCCACTGTTGATGTTTTTATGTTCATATCCAGTTTTTCCATTGCAAAATAAGTAAAGGTGGTCCAGTACACTTGAAATCATGTGAACTTCAACTGAACAAAAAGTGAGATTTACTGGAAACAAAGTAATTTCAGTCCATTCTCTTTTTCTTTGTTTGTTAGGATTACTGTTTTATGTGCTATGCCATCAGCTACAAGATAAAGTAACTGGTTATTAAAAAACATAGGGTAAGAAGCTACTTATCATTAAAAAATATTAGCAATTTGCATTTAGTTATTTTACTTTTTGATGACTTTAAAAATGAATATACTTTTAAATATTACAAAACAAAATATCTTTTTAAAATTCAATTGGCTATCTACAAGTTCCTGAGAAAATCGGAGAAATTAGCCTCTCATTGGATTTGGATGATACAATATGTATCGTCTTGTTGTTAGAAATCTAAATGACTTTTGTCCTTTTCATTTCTTTTACCTAAAATTATATATATTACTATAGTAATGCAGGTATTTGATTCCCAAGTTGTTCTTAGTTTACATGCAGCATTTTTAACTATAATTGATACATAAAGTTGTACTCCTGAGAACATTTTGAATTATAATATATGATGATATATTGGTATAAAAACAATTATCATTGAAGATTTTAATGTGAAGTATTATAGGCATGGAGTTAGTATAATGAACTAAAAGATTCATCCTCTATCCAGCACCAGTAAAGCTTTTAACAACTCAAAATTTAACTGCATTTTTCCCTCTCTCACAAACAAGAACTATTCTCGGGCTTTATCTCAGGGTTGTAGGAAAACCACTAGCTAAGCATCACCAGTTTTTTCTGTGGTAATGTAATACCATTTTTGCATCTTCTGTTTACAGGACTGAACCCAGGATCACTTTCATGGCATACGAATGTTCTACCAACAGACAAGCCATTAGTCATTGCTACTAAGGCACTTTTTAAGAACTTGATATACTACATAAATACATCAAAACGGAAATAACTGAACATAAATACTTTTGGACCAAATTGCTAATTACTATCCATATCCCACAGTAAGCATGACTATGACACCCAACAAAAATTTTATTGACATGTTTAATAGAACAAATATACTGTTACTGATTTTGTGTGTTATCACCTTTTTCCATCTTTTAGCTCAACCATTTAATAAAATAATTATATTATCACCTATTTAGTGTAGTTGTCACATTTTCTCCCATCTCTTAGATGATACAGTAATTTTAGCTCAGATTTGAAACTGATACCTGTGTTTTGTTAATTCTTTATAAATACAATGTGCTATATTGATAACAGGTGGATGCTATGTTTGATTTCCTGCCACGAACGGATTCCACAATGGAACAAATGGCTCCATCAGCTTTTAAGGTAAAACTTTTATTGCATTTTTATTTATGTTCTACTGTTTGAATCTAGAAAAATATTCATTTTAAATTATAGTTGTGGATCCTATCATCCAGACAAAAGAAGTCGCAACTTTAATAAAACCAGACACATCAAGTCTCATGTCTAAATTGAGAAATAAATGCTTTATCTTAGCTCATATTTGCATATGAGCTAATATAGAATGGCTGTACTTTACAAAAATAAGTGTAATCCTTGTTTTATATGTTGCTCTATACTTAACAGTCTTCTCACATATTAATATCTGTATAACCTCATACATTACAGATTTCACATTTCAATGTATTTTTTAAAGCTATTCAGTTATATATGTTACACAATATAGATGCAATAGCAGTCCTATAACATATAAATGACTATGTATGTTCTGATATTGAATTGTTAAAATCTTTTATCACTGAATAACCTTAGCCAATGGTTTTTAGCTATAAAGAACTAAAATGCTGGCTCATATTGATTATAAACTTTTATTGATTTAATTTTAGTAACTACAAGGAGTGTCAATATAAAGCTTAATTATAATTACAAAATAAAATGTTTAGTAAATAAAAAAAATGTTCTATAACTTTGTGTAAGCTACATAATAAAACTAAACATTCATATATCACTTAGGATTTGGAGCGACCTCGAGAAGCTATGTTGGAAGGAGCAGAAGTAGAGGGTTCAGTACCAGCCCCACCTAAAGACCAAGAAGATCTGTCTGAATACACATTTCAGAAGTTTGCTTCTGCCTATTTTCAGGGTAACATCAGCCATCAATATCAACGTCGAGAACTTAAAACATCCCTTCATCCTTTACCAACACAAGGAGACACGCTGGTTAGTATGCATAGCCGATGCTAATACAGGTTGACAAGTAGAAAGAGGGGTTTAGCTGGTTTCAAGAAAACCTGCTCTATGTGAAAATTAATTACACTATTTGGGATTTTATTTTATTATTTGCCTCCTGGATTATAATACATGCTTCCAAAAACTTCTTGGCTTTACAGTGCACTTATGGCACTTGACGTTTCCACCTGCAAAAAAAATAGAACATCCTTCGATCCATCTTATGGTCCTTTAATTTCCTTGGAGAGAGCATAATTAAATGCACTAAACTATACTGAATCATTCTTTCTAAAATTAAATTACAAGTGGGTCAGTTTCATATCCCACAATTGCTGGATTGTGTAATGTTATGTTCAGTTCTTTTTCCAACATTGTTAAACGAGTTGATATTTAATCTTTCTTCTACTGCTAATAAACATATGTATTGTTAGTATTTGCAGGCATGTTATATTATTGTTTCTGAAATACAACTGAGGTTTTAAAAGAGTTTTTAGTGTATAAGAAACTGACAACTTGTTTATGTGTGCACAGCTGTTATCAGTATGTAAGATGAAAGTATTTAACTGTATCCTCTTTCTTTTTTATACTTAATAGATGTTAAAAGCATGTAGTTATATATCCTTGAATGAAATAGATCAGTTTGTACTGCACATAATTTTGCCTAAAGTGTGTTATATATATTATTCAGTTACAAGAGTGGCTTTAATATTTTGCAGTGTTTATTAAGTGTAGTTTTAATGTTTGCATATTTCTTTAGAAAGTGTTTACAAGATAATTTTATAAATTGCACTTAACAAGTTAATTACTTTTTTAGGCTGCATTAGCACTTTGGATCACCATCCTTAGATTTATGGGGGACCTCCCAGAACCAAAGTTTCATACTATGGATCGGGTGAGTTTAATCACACTGGAAGCTTTGATAGCTGTTAGTATCATGCCCATGATTACAACAGGTTTTCTTTATCTACACAACAAAGAGATAGTGACTCTGATGTGTATTAAGAGCTCAGTTTTAATATGCTTTAATATGCTGTCTAATTATAAATAATTCTATTTGGGTTTTATAACAATAGTTTTAATGTTTGTCACAATTTTTTTTTAAGTTGGTATATATAGTAAGTATATATATATATATATGAGTGTGTATTGGGCTAAGAGTTCTTCTACAGTAGGTGTCTGTGACTTGTTGGTGATAAATTTAAAAAATGAACAGCACGCACTCCACTTGTTTTTCAAATAATATCTTCAAAGCAAGTTAAACAGATGTACAAAAATTCTTTACACTGTCTATATCATAGTTGTAACTTAAATACTATACAGTTCTTTTCTTGTTGTCAAAAGTCCACTTAGGCCAATTCAATTCTTTAGAATTCAGTTGACAAGCCGAACTATTTTTTCTGTTCTTATCTTAAACACTATCAGTGTATAATTCACTTATTCCTTTTATTCTCTCTCTTTTTTTTCTTTTATCACAACAGTATTGGTGTATAATTCACTTTCTCTGTTGTTGAGTTGCCACAGTTGTATCCTGAACTTTCAATACTCATCTGCTTTTTCGCATCTAGGCCTACTTCCAAATAATCATCTGCTTTTTGTCAAAGTAAACACAGGCAGGTTCAATTGCTTCAGATCACCCTTTGATGAAACAAATTATTCTCCTAAAATGTCAGAAAACTGTTAATCTCACTTTAACATATCAACTGTTAGGCTATTCACTCCTATGACAGTTAACTTTATATTTTCTAATCTTTCGATCACCAAAACTTTCTTTCACATGGCTTTACTTTTGGCTCTTTTCTCGCTCCCTAGCCTCTTGTCTGGTTGCTTCTATTTATATCTCTCACTGAGGCTTTCTAGAAATCTCCATAGCCTCAACATCAGTAACTAAACTGAACAATCATGAAATATTAACTCACAAAATAAATTACATAATACTACATACACTAAACAGTCTTTTTATATCTGACAGTGGCGACTGTAATAAATTATTTTGTCACAATTATTAATTTCCTATTAAATGTTGATTGATTTCACATTTTATTGCATTAAATTGCTGATTTATTAAATTTGACTTCAATAATGTTAAAAAAAAAGCTTACAAAGAAAAATCTATAATGCAAAATTTTAATGTGTAACTGTACTTTCGTTCTATTTCTCCAAGCACTTTGTTCATGAATGAATTTACTATAACTTTTTCTCCCTTCCAGGTTTATTTCTGTTATGAACAAAGTTGATATCACTTTGTGTTTTATTCATATTTTTTTCAATATAATATCTTACCTCCTCTCACAAAATAGCTTGCCCTCTGTCAGTGCAAGTTTTCAATGCATGCCACTAACCTTCCACCCTCTGCTTGTGCATATCCATATGCAAATGATAATACAGCAGCTCTCCACCAATAGGAGCACGACACCACTCCTATCATAACCAATGTCCTCTTCACATCAGCACTTGTTAATCACTTCTTGATTGGCAAATAGTACTGTATAGATGTGCTGGTTTTTGCTTGCAGATTTATTGACATTTTCCATTACACTACTGACTTAGTTTTTATTTAGTTTTGGACTGGAGATGCACCCAAGATTTGCGGTCCCTCTTCCTACCATCTGCTATATGTCAGTTACCGGCAGATCTAGTGTTGGTTGTAGCTGGACACAGCACATGTTTTCCTGCTATTGAACGGCCATATATACTGTTTCTATCACAGACTGGAAGTATACTATACCCATTGCACCAGGTTTTTGGACTAGAGATGTCATCCCTCTGGGGCTTTCCAACTTCCTACCATCTGCTGGATGTCAGTTCCTGGCAGATCTGATGTTGGTTGTATTGGAAATGCATGAAAGTGAAGATAGATTTTGGGACAGAAGCTCATCTTCCTTACCAATTCCCATTTTGAGGTGAAAAGGTAGGTGATTCTCTACCTATCATGGATCTGATTCACCTTTCTATATACCGCCTGGTTGAGGTCGAACTACCACTATGGTCTGTCACACCCTAGCCACTCGACACCCAAGAGTCTCATTCATTGGTCATACCTATTCTGGGATTCCTTCATGTTTTTCTTTCTTCTTTGTTCACAACACTTGTCATAAAAGTGAGAAGAGTATACCTTGATCAGATGTGGTGTGGTCTCCCACTGAGGTGTGATTTTTTTCTCTTTTAGTTCCACACGTCATGGTCTCTCTTTGGGTGCTTCCTAAAGGGATATCTTTTTTTTCTTGGCCCTCCACCAGTTCATTGTGGGATTCTAGCTATTTTGTGAGCGGAAGTAAGATATCGTATCAGAAGTTAGCATTTTCCTACACTGAAAATGTATTTCCAATAGATACTTACCTCCTCTCACATTTTGCACTAATCTTCCCCACTTCTGATGATATATGGTGTAGGTCTTCTAACCAATCTCAAAGTGATTAATGAGTGCAGATGTGAAGAGGGTGTTGGATATGATAGGAGTGGTGTCGCATTCCTATTGATGGAGAGCTGATGGATGATCCTTTGGATGTGGATATGCAGAAGTGGGAGATGGAATGCTAGTGTCGTATGTTAAAAATTTGTGCCAATATAGGGCAGTGCTAGTCGAGAAAAGCTATTTTTTGAGAGGAGGTAAGTATCTATTGGAAATACGTTTTCAGTGTATGAAAATGCTTACTTTTCTACCTTTAGAACAATTTTTTAGGACACTTACTGTCATAGGTTCAGTGATTTTTAGTGTGAGCTTATTTCACTAAATATTGTTTTACTTTATTCCTTTTTTATTAGTACAGTGACTGCCATTTCAGGAGTTCATAGTATTAATTTTCCTTCCAAATGCTACTTCTGTCACATTTTAAGAATTTGACTTTTTATCTTGCTTATGTAGCTAGCTTCTATTTAGTTGAAACTTCATCTATTTCATTGGTAAAATTAATTTTACTTGGGCTATTTTTTATGGTTTTTTTTTTACTTTTTTAGGACACTACCTCAGTCATGAGTAAAGTGACTGCTACCTTGGGAAGAAACTTCATAAAGAGTAAAGAGTTTCAAGAAGCTCAGCTTATGGGTGTTGATACTGTAAGCTTCAGAAATGTGCCCTTGTTTTCTACAAACTTAGATCTTAATCAATATTTTTATGTAAAAAATGTAGAGGTAAAGAATACAAGTGACAGTAAGAAAAAAGCACTTGTAAATGTATATATATTTATATATATATAAGGTTAAAGTCTTTAAGAGGATCAAACATTAATATGGTGAATAAAATGCTTTTATGTTTTGGGAGTTCTAGCTTACAACTTTCTAAATCCAAACAGTAATGTTAATTAGTCAAGGATGTTATATGCTGTTTCCATAAATAGTTATTTTGCATCCAGTACCACCTTGTGTGAGGCTGCTTTACAGTTGATAATAAAGCAGAAATACATCTTTGTTCTAGTGATCCAATTTTGTGATTGGTCAACAGTAGAGAGTGTGCATATTAAGAGAGCGATTTTGGCACCTTCAAAAAGAACTTAGTTTAACTCCAAAGAGTCGAGACATGCAGTAAAGTGTAGTCTGTGTTGTCTCTAACAGTAATCTTTCAGTAGTTGACCACGTACATTTGAACTTTTAGCTCAGTCACATCAGTAATCTCAAATTCAGGTTATAATCCACTTCATTTGCCTTTTTTTTTTTTCATTTAAATACAATTCTTCTATGTAATTTTAACCATCTGCAACAGCAGCTATCTGTTTCCACTGGATAATTGACCATCCTTTTGTTTGTTGATAAAATATTTATTATTGTTTATCTTCACACTGAGTCTTGGCTCTTCCATTCAACCAACAAAGAAAATCTCTCCTTCCACATATTAGGGTCCATGATCTTCTTTGTTGTTGTTGGTATGCTCAGGTAACTTTGTGCTCTTGTCTTTTCTGAACCTTGGATTATCACATTGTTAAGCCATTCATTTTACCTTGAGCACTAAAACAAAGTAAAAAACAATGCTTACTTTAAAATGGCCAATGTATTAGTAGAACAATATGTTAATGCCTGAATCCTTCCATATGTACAGGGTTTTCCTTTTTAATTATTTCAATTAAAAACTGTTAGCTAATTTCTAAACAGTTGATGAGTTTCTCTTTTGGAAAAAACTCAAACTCTATGAAATACTCATTATAATATTTGTTTTAGATTTTTGGGCTGCATGTAAATTATTATGCAGTTGACATTTCAGTTAGTTTTATTTTCCACATAGTTTTTAATTTGTACAATGTAATTGTAATTAATATGTTGTTAGGTGGTTTCGTTTTCTGTTTTTTGTGGTTTCAAATTAGTATAAAGTCTATAAAACTGTATTAAACATGGTGTGACACAAAAACAGGATAAAAATAGTATCATCTGTTTTGCCCATAGTGGAATTGTCATTGCTATTCAATCAGTGTAGTGTATTTGAAAGTTAATGATTTAAGACGTAAGATATCTCTATTAAAATAAGTATGAAGAAACTCAATATTTTTATGGTTGTCCTCAGGATATCTACACAAAACAGAAATCTCGCAGCATTCGCAATAAGTTAGTGTCCCTGACTTTAAAAAAGAAAAACAAGCTGACTGAAGATGTCCGAAGAAGACTTCAGGAAGAGGATCTAACAGCTGATAGCTACAGTTCTTGGCTTGAAAGTCGCCCTACCTCCAATCTTGAAAAACTTCATTTCATTATTGGTCATGGAATTCTTCGAGAAGAATTACGGTAAATTTCTATTCTTTTATTTATTCAAAATGAAAAATATTTTGAATAACTTTTTGATACTAAAGAATCTTTTTGTCTAAAGTTGCACTAGGTGATTTCAAAGTAACAATGTTTTATCAATTGATATTTTTATTTTTAGAAATTTCTAGCTACCCTGTTGTTAACTTCAACATTTGATTGTTATATTCCATTTTATATTTTTTATATAAAAAATATTTTATACATTGCAGACAAATTCAATATGTCTTTGTGATAATTCTTCACATTAAAATACATATGCAAAATTATTACTACAATTGGTTGTTTTCTGGGAAATGAAACTTTAGTCCTCCTTTCATCATTACTATAACCAACATTTTATCACTCTTAGCCACTTGTAGAGTAGGTGCACTCATAATGCAATTAATTAAATTAAAAAAACTTATACTTGTATTTAACCTGAAGTAGTCAGAACTTCCCACTTTCCTTAACTCTTTCAGCACGGACTGGGTCCCTTGGACCGACCTTGTAAGCATTTTGTGCTTGTTATAGTTTTCATACTATAACTTTTAAATTAGTAAGCGAATGTTAACAAAATTTTGAGATTATCAGTATACATTACAATGCTTTCATTCACAAAATATCAAATTTTTAATTAATTCTTAAAGTTTGTAAAGCAATGTTATTCTCATGCC